CTCCCTGCTCGGCAGGGAGTCTGCTTCTCCCTCTGACCCTCCTCCCTCTCATGCTCTCTGTCTCTCATTCTCTCTCTCTCAAATAAATAAATAAAAAGTCTTTAAAAAAAAAAAAAATTTCTAGAGGTAAGGACTACAAAGTGAATTAATAGTTTATACAAATCCAGGTTAACTGTGACTGGTTGGGAAAATGTCTATTCTCTGTTATTTCTGATAAGTTTTATACACGCTGATTTGATATAACCATGTGATAAACAATTTTCTGTACAGGAAAAGTGATCCTGTATACATACCCATGAGGTCAGCAAATCCTCCAACTGGCAATCGGCAGGTTCCAGTAACAAACTGCAGAAGTCTCATTCTCTTCTCATTATCAATTTCTTTAACAAACTGTTAAAAAAACAGCACACACAAAGATATATATATATATATATATATGGTCCTATGTTACGTTTAGCATAAACAAGAATGAAAAACGATCATTTCAAATGAACTCCCAGTGTTAGATGCGCTAGATAATGACTATACCCCACCACTGTGGATGGAGGAGCTTCTCCGTGTTTGTCAAAGCCCTGCCAACCTTCCCCTATATAAATCTTAGGACCACATCCTTTCAGGGAGATAGAAAGAGAAGGGTGCCCTCTGCCTAAGAGCTCCCTACTCACAAAGTCTCAAGATGAGCTCTTTTAGAGCAGCCCCTTATTTTACCTCCCAGATATGGTTGTCCTATAGGATACTGACGTGGTTACGTGGGACACAGAGCTTAAGTCAGTATGGACTTTTTGGTTTTATGAACAAATGAGATCAAGCTCATAGAACTCTGATCCAGATATATCCCAATAACCTCCTTCTCTCAACAACATTCTCTAGGTTTTGGTGTAGCTATATACTATCAGAATCAGGTGGCTTTCAACTCCTACAACTCTGGTTCAAAACATTAGGTTTATGGAAGATGCTTTCTAGCCTGTAGCACAAGTATTTTGACTCAGCCAAATATTTTTTGTGAATAATTTTTATCCTATTGTACTACTGTCAAGTATTTTAAAAGGCTAATCCTGTTTGCTATAGAAGCTCAGTTTATTTGGGTTTCTTATTAATTTCTTTACATAAGTAACAAACATTTAAAAAATTTTTATTTTTACAGTGGTAAAATACATATAACATAAAATTTACCATTTTAAGCACCACAATTCAATGGCATTAAGTATGTTCACAGTACTGTATTACTATTACCACTATTTCCAGAATTTTATCATCCTGAACAAAAACTCTGAATTCATGAAACTTATTTCCTCATCCCCAACAGCCCGTGTTAGCCTCTATTCTACTTTGTCTCTATGAATTTGCCTCTTCCAGATACCTCATATAAATGGAATCATGGAATCATACAACGTTTATACCTTTGTGACTGGCTTATTTCACTCAGCATAATATTCTTAAGGTTCACCCCTGTTGTAGCCTATCAGAATTTCCTTTCTCCTGAGGGTTGCTGGAGTGCAGGGGGGTGGGAGGGATGGGGTGGCTGGGTGATGGACATTGGGGAGGGTATGAGTTGTGGGGAGCGCATATTGTATATTGTGAAGTATATTGTGAAGACTGATGAATCACAGACCTGTACCCCTGAAACAAATAATACATTATATGTTAATAATAATAAAAGAATTTCCTTTCTCTTTAAGGCTGGATAATATTTCATTGTATGTGTATACCACCTTTTGTTTATCCATTCATCTGTTGATGGACACTTAAGTTGCTTCTACCTTTTGGCTACTGTGAATAATGCTGTTATGAATATAAGTACACAATAAGTGTCTGAGTGCTTGCTTTCACTTCTTTTGGGTATACCTAGGAGAACTGCTGGATATGTTAATTTATGTTTAGCTTTTTGAGGAGCCATCAAATTGTTTTCCACAGTTGTGCACCACTTTACATTCCCACCAGCAATGCAGGAGAGTTCCAATTTCTCTACATCCTCAACAAGGATGATTATTTTCTGTTTCTTGATAACAGCCATGACAGTAATGGATATGAAATGGTATCTCATTGTGGTTTTGACTTGCACTTCCCTAATGATTAGTGATTTGAGCATCTTCTCTTGTGCTTATAGCAGGTATTTTTTGAAGACACACCATTATGATTCCAAACCAGGTTGCTCCCTTAAGTTTTGCCTTCTAAACATTATATAATTCTTAATGAGGTATGAATGATGAAAACCATACTTGAGACAATTCCATAAAATTCCAAAAGTATTTAGATCAAATGCAGGGGAATCATCATCTGAAGTTGTCTTATACCCTCGGCAAAGGTGCAAGGTGTGTGTTGCTTACTCAGCAATAATTTTTTAAAAATACTGTTATAATCTTTTTTTTTAAAAAATCTTAATTCCAGTATAATTAATATACAGTATTATATTAGTTTCAGGGGTACAATAGTGATTCAACAATTCTATACATTACTCAGTGCTCATCATGATGAGTGTACTCTTAAGCCCCTTCACCTATTTCACCCATCCCTCCACCCACCTCCCCTCTGGTAACCATCGTTTTGTTCTCTCTAGTTAAGAGTCTGTTTTTTAGTTTGTCTTTTTTTTTTTTTTTTTTT